TTTTGTCAGTTTGAAAGTAATTTTGTGCTGTTTCTATTACTTTGCCTTGGTTGTTGCTGTAAGACTTGTGAAAGATAGAACCTGCCATGTGGAGAAGAATAGAGTAAAATAAAATAATTTTAAAATAAGAAAAAAAAGATTTAAAAAACCCACAACAACCCACTTGTGTTAAGAGGGCCCTGCTGGGATTTGCAAGTATCTCCTTTCTTGTGACATGATAAAGTTAGACTGTTTGCTCATTTGGGTCTAAAATTGACAGCTTGCTAGTAGGGGTTACCAGATAACCCATTTATAGACATGCTCCTGAGATTTTAGAGTACTGCACCAGACTAGGGTGGCACTAATTAAGTATGTCTGCTTTTCTATGCGTGTGCTCTTCTAGGGGCCAGGCTGAAATAAGTGGGCCCAGTCAGCCTGGTACAGCTACATATTCATGAAATAAAATAAAGCAGACTTCTCTCTTTCTTAGACAATGGCACCCTCAGATCTCTTGTGGGAGAAAAACCTTATGGTAAGGCTGGGAAATGAATAAGGGGATTTACCTTATTTCTTTTAAACTTCAGGAGTTACATTTCCTCTGTTGTCTTCTTTTATTCTTTGTTTCCAGCTGTGTTGGCAGCTTCCTTTTATATTGAGGGCAACATTAGACTGTTTTATTTTTAGATTTTTGTCATTTTATCTTTTTATTTTGAAAGTTGGAGGAGATATTAATTCAGAATCCCTTCTTCACATTGCTTGCCTTTTTTTTTTTTTTTTTTTTTTTTTAAGAGACAAGATCTCACTCTGTTGTCCAGGCTGGATGGAAGTGCAGTGGTGCAATCAGAGCTCACTGCAGCCTTGACCTCCTTGGCTCAAGTGATCCTCTCGCCTTGGTCTCCCAAAGTACTGTGATTACAGGTATGAGTCATCATGCCTGGCCTCTTTTTTTTTCTTTAATTTGGTATGTGGTCTTGTACAAAGTTTTTTTTTTTTTTTTTTTTCCCATTTATTTATTTTATTGCATTTTAGGTTTTGGGGGGTCTTGTACAAAGTTAAGGACTGAGTAAATTTTGTTTCATGGTGGTAAATCACAATACTGTGTATGTATGAAGGTTTTTGCTAACAAGAATTATTGTTTGTGGCAGTGCCTATACAGGTACCTGTCTGTTTTCAGAGACACGGTTAATGACCAGTCTCTTTTTTTCCCTTCTTTAGAGTTCTGATTTTGGAGACCATCCTGGTCAACATGGTGAAACCCTGTCTCTACTAAAAATACAAAACATTAGCTGGGCATGGTGGCGCGTGCCTGTAATCTCAGCTACTCAGGAGGTTGAGGAAGGAGAATTGCCTGAACCCAGCAGGCGGAGGCTGCGGTGAGCCGAGATCGCGCCATTGCACTCCAGCCTGGGTAACAAGAACGAAACTCCGTCTCAAAAAAACAAAAAAAAAACAAAAGAAACTTTCAGCCAATGGTAATGCAATACACTATAGTTGATTTTGTTTGTTTTTGATATGACTTTTGGAGAATAGGAGAGAACATAATTTGAGGCTTCATCATCTAAAATATATTTCTCTTACTATTTTTCTCCTCTCTACTATAAGTTGCTGGCATTAATAGGCATAAACAGATATTTGTTGGTGATCAGATCAGTGAACTGCCTGGTTTTAATTGAGTTATGAGCCCATTTTCATTGAAGTACCTGCAGAGCCCTCTCATACAATCATGTTTGATAGATGCCTCAAGCAGTGGAGCTTGGAAAGCCTGGGGAAGAGCTGTCCTCTGTTCTCACCTCACTTTAAGCAAGTAGTGGTTTTGGTTGATGCTTCATCGTTTGATGTGGTAAAATGGTAAGTCTGTGGGTTTTGCTGCAGGTTTAGAGAATTCTTTAAGAATGTCTTTGTGTGGCGTATGCTTTGGTCACAATGTCTGCTGCTTATGCAACTTGCTATTTAATTTCCCTGGTGAAATGTAAATGTTCCACATACTACTTAAGTAATGGGAAGACCCCATCTTTATTCATTTAAACATGCTCTAGGTAATGGCTTTCTCTTATTGAGCATTTTAGAGATAAAAAATATGAATTATGTGGCTTTCTTGGAGAAACTTATAAAGCTATGAAATATTTCCAATAATCTGAAAAGATCTACCCACTCAAAATGAGATGAGCTTATTGCATTTTGATTCTAATTAGTGGACAAAGGACTTATGTAAATAAGACTGCTCGGAATAAAATGGTTCACTCATAGACATTGCGGTATGAGATGTATGAGTTTCGATAGATATCAAAGATACTTTTTATATCCTAAAGATACATTTATTTGTAATGTATTTGAGGAGATCAGACAAAAACATTGACCTGTTGGCAAAATAATTCAGTTGAAACTTTTTAAAGTGTTGGGAGCATACCTGTGGAGCATTTAGAAGAGTAGGGATTGAAGTCAGCCAGGAAAAGCTTCCTGGATCTTAAAGTAATGGACATGAGTGTAGGGTGTTTCCAGGAAGGCTGAGTTATTTGAATAAAGATCTAAAAGGCCGGGTGTGGTGGCTCACGCCTGTAATCCCAGCACTTTGGAAGGCCAAGGTGGGCAGATCACAAGGTCAGAAGATCGAGACCATCCTGGCTAACACGGTGAAACCCTGTCTCTACTAAAAATACAAAAATTAGCTGGACATGGGGGCGTGCACCTATAGTCCCAGCTACTCAGGAGGCTGAGGCAGGAGAAACGCTTCAACCTGGGAGGTGGAGGTTGTAGTAAGCCAAGATTGCCCCAGTGTACTCCGGCGGTCTGGGCGACAGAGCAAGTCTCAGTCTCAAAGAAAAAAAATCTCTCTCTCTCTCTCTCTGTATCTATCTATCCCCTCTCTCCCTCTCTTTCTTTCTCTCTCTCTCTCTCCATTTTATTTAGACAGGGTCTTGCTCTGTCATCCAGTTTAGGGTACGGTGGTACGATCCTATTTCACTGCAGCCTCAAACACCTGGGCTCAAGCAAACCTCCTGCCTCAGCCTCCTGCGTAGCTGGGACTACAGGCCATGCCTAGCTGATTTAATTTTTTTGTAGAGTTGAGGTCTCTCTATGTTGCCCAGACTGGTCTCAAACTCCTGGCCTCAAGCAATCCTCCTGCCTCAGCCTCCCAAAGTGCTGGGATTATAGGTGTAAGTCACTATGTCCATCTGAGGATTGTTTTTAGTGGAAGAATTTTAGGTTTTGGGTACATGTACTAGTTGTATGAATTTAGCTGTTAATGCTTCTAGAAATTTCTAAGGAATTTATTGAATTTGAGAAGGAGGTCCTGGATTTTGTCAGTGTCTATTGATAGGAAAATTGTGCCCTGCCTGTGAAAAGAAAATTTATTATGCCTAGGGGAAAAGTTAGGCCCTGGAAATTGAGTCACATAACATGGCTGTTTTTCTTCCCTGGTGTGTGACTCTTGCTTAGGGACCTTTGTGTTGAGATGTTATATGTAACTCTTTATTCAAACCTAGACTAAATGAAGCTGGAGGTAGAGACCCCTGTGATTGTTACTGTTTTACAATGGAATGTTAAACAACCCCCTTAGAGTATAATAGTAGCCAATCAAATCTTGGGTCTGTATGTTAGCCTTATATAGAAAATGTGGTAATTCTGTTTCACTCCCCTGTTTTTGCCTGTATAAATGATCCTCACCTTTTCCAACACTGGGGAGTGCTGAGCGCCATTCTTCAGTGTCCATGTTTCCTGAACAACTACCCTCACACTTTTCACTTGAATGAATTCTTTTAACTGGATCCTCTGTTAAAAATGACATTACACTTACTTGTGAAGAACAAAGGATGTCTTCTAGTCCCTCCCCTCCCCTCTCCTGTGCTCTTCTCTTCTCTTTTCAAGTTTTGCTCTTGTCGCCCAGGCTGGAGTGCAGTGGTGGCATGATCTCGGCTTACTGCAACCTCCACCTCCTGGATTCAAGCAATTGCCCTGTCTCAGCCTCCTGAATAGCTGGAATTACAGGCTCCCGCCACCATACCTAACTAATTTTTATATTTTTAGTAGAGACATGGTTTCACCATGTTGGTCAGGCTGGCCTCGAACTCCTGACCTCAGGTGATCCACCTGCCTTGGCCTCCCAAAGTGCTGGGATTACAGGTGTGAGCCACCACGCCTGGCCCAAAGGATTGTTTTCAATTGAAGACTTTTAGGTTTTGAATATTTAGACCAAATTCCCAAATTCTGAATTCCCAAATTCTAAATTCTGAATTCCCAAATTCCAAATTCTGAATAGTTGTATAATATTCAGTTGTTAACGGTTCTAGGAATTTCTGAGGAATTTATTGGATTTCAGAATGAGGTCTTGGATTTTGTCAGTGTCTGACAGGGAAAGTGTACCCTAACCCATTTCCTGAGGGATGATCAGTGCTTTCATTTATACAGGAAACGCCACCTTATCTCCTTTCTGCCCTATCCATGACTTCTTTCTGGTTGTTGAGAATTGCTGAGTTTGGTTCACTTGCTTACTTTATCTGACTTATTAAAGATAAGGCTGCATGGTCTATTTCTGCCTTCTAGTTCTTTCCCTCTCTGCTCCAAGTAAATTCTAACTCTTACATGGTATGTTTTGTTGTTAAAGTTTGCTAACTAAATAGGTCTAACCACCTTTTGTTGATTGATGGATAGATAGCTACAATAGTCCCAGGAGCTTTGTCAGTGTTAACATTTTTCAGGTTCAGAAGTGATACCATTCACTTTGATGTCTGTATATGTGAATTTGCAAATCTGTAAGTCCCTCTTTCTTTCTCGCTTTCCCTCTTCCCCTTTTTCTGCCTCCCTCCTTTTCAATTTAGTTTCCCCAGTGTTGCTGAGCTAAGGTTCAATCAGAGGACTTAGATACCTTAATTTTTTTTTGGCTTTATTTTTGAAGAAAGGGATCATAGTTCCCATTAGGACATGTATTTTCAATGTGTCTTCTTTTGCTCCCCCACCACACTCTATCTCTACTTCTAGAACTTAAAATTCTAGGATTGTTTTTCCACCCTCACCCCTCACCCCCTTTTTAAAAAAAGTCAAAACTCTTATTATTATAGTAGAATTTTACAGGTTTGAGTTGGCAGATTAAATATACTAATTTTTACTGTGTATATAATAATACAGTAAATTACTAATTAAATATACTAATTATTACTGAATCACTGCCCTGCCTTTTCTGCTTTCTTTACAGACCTGCTTAGTATACATTGTATGTATTTCTTTCTTTCTTTTTTTGAGACAGTCTTGCTCTGTTGCCCAAGCTGGAGTGCAATGGTACGATCTTGGCTCACTGCAACCTTAGCTTCCTGGTTCAAGCGATTCTCCTGCCTTAGCCTCCTGAGTAGCTGGGACTATAGTCATATGCCACCATGCCCAGCTAATTTTTGTATTTTTAGTAAAGATGTGGTTTTACCATGTTGGCCAGGCTGGTCTCAAACTCCTGACCTCAGGTGATCCACCCGCCTCATCCTCCCAAGTGCTGGGATTACAGGCATGAGCCACTACACCCGACCCACAGATGATTTTTAAATGCTCTTGCTCAGTTTTCTTTCTTACAGGGAGAGCGATTGGCACCCTGTGCTAACACCAGAGGGCTGAGTATTGGGTTTAAAAGTCCTCACTGTCCTCCCTTCCCTCCGCTTTTTTTTTTTGTTTTCGGCCAGTTGGTAAAACATAAATGCATAAATATTTTCTCAGGGCTTTCCTTCAACTTTCTTCAGAGAGAATGAAGGGATCCCAGTGATTTCCCAATGATTTTTTGAGTTTTCACTGGCAGGGAGTGGGAAGTGATATTTTCCTGCCCTGGCATCACAAATCCCAGTTAGAGGCAGGAATCCACTGCCCATATGTTCTCAAAATCTATGACCATTTTATTATTTAAAAAAACTATAAGGAATAAATAATTTGGCAATGTAAAATGGTTAGATCAAGATACGGAGTTTAAGTTTTCTGAACTTATTCCTTACAACATTTAGACTCTCAGTTTTCTGGAATGTTGGCATCCAGTGGACTCTTAGGAGTATGTGGCTAGCTAAAATAATAAAATCATAAAATTTTGGAGTTGGAAATAGACTTAGGAAAGTTCAAGCTGTAAAAAAAAAAAAAAAAAAAAAAAGTTTTAGGGATGGGACCTGGTTTAATTTATTTAATCTCTTATCAAATAATTTAAGGTAGATGTAGTTGCCTTGGGTTTGCAGTTTTACCTGTAGACCTGTGCATCTGTGCTCCCATTCCTCAGTGGTTCCCATCCATCATACCCCTATTATGATGGTGTGATGACTTCATCTGTTTTAATGCCACTAAGTTTTAAAATTTTTTTTTCTAAAAAAATTCTAGATCATGATCGATAGAGAGGAGCATGTTGGAATTTTCATTGAAATTGTGTTCTTTTGGAGGTAGGAATAAACAAGGGACTAAGGGTAAAGATTCTGGTGGGGTTGGGGGAGGGTTAGTTAGAAACCAAAAGAGCAATTGTGTACTTTAATTGCTTTGGTCATGTGATTGCCCCTTCATGGGTAAAAGGTCGTGATCGGTGGCCTTCAGTGTCTGGGATTAACTTTCAGGGCAGTACATACATAGTTTTGAATTTGTGGTATTTTAGATAAGTTCATGGGATAGAAAGTCTGCTGGAGACTATAAATTCTTAGAATTCTACAGATTATGAGCATTTGTGGGAACATCTGTAATGCAGCTGTAGTAAAGTTTGTTTACTTTATCAGGATTGCTTTAGAGGCTCTTGCTGTGTTGTTTATTGTTGTTTTCAGCATTTTATCCACATAGCCTGAAACAGCATCGACTCCTGGTAGACTTGAGGATCATTCAGTTTTGTAGCCATTCTAATCAGGTTTGGGTTTTGAACTTATGTCCACTTTAGAGCTCTTATGTCTTGGCACAGACGTTGATGGGGAATCCAGGACATTGCAAGATGGAGACTGATTCTGGAATTAACATACTTCCCAGATGTTTGTAGTATAGATTTGTTTTCTGTGCTGCCTTTCATGTGTTATTGTGTGTCTGTCTCTGTCTGTGCTTTCCTTTGTTTTCCCTTTCAGAGCCCCTGGGGGAAGGGAGGTATCTGCTTTTTGGATTGGGAAATAGAATAGGTATTAAATTTTTGGTGAAACCTTTTGAGATGGTATTGACATTTCTGTGAGAGAAGCTGCTTTGTTTCCACGAGGGAAACTGTTGATGAGGGTGGTGTTGGGGGTGAGACTCTGAAAGTAAGTAGACAGGGACTTCACATCACTAGAAGTCCAAATGGACTTCAATTATGGTTTTCAATTATGAAATGGGCAACTGATGCTCTGAGTCAACAGCCTTTAACCATGCCTGACTGAAGAGACCTTGTGTTTGAAATTCACAGCATCGCCTGGATCCCTGCTGTCTTTTTGTGCCTCCCGCTAACACACAGCTGTTTTTGTTCATACATCATTTTGTGTTCAACTGCCTGGTTACTTCCTCAAGTCCCTTTTATGATGAATAATGGACACATGGGAGTTTGAACACCCCGAGTGTGTGGCTATTCAAACAGGAAGTCTCAAGGAAGCACAGTAACCTTGTCAGAGGAACGAAAGATGGGACAGAAAAAGCTATTGATGATTCTAGGCTTCAAACATCTGCAGGAAAATCTGACAGTTCCTGAAATACTGACATTCTGTAGCTTACAAATGAGATGGTTTGTTTATTTGGAACTTGTTCCCTTTAAAAAAAATCAGGGTATTAAACCCTAAACCATAAAATAGAAGTAGAGGGAAGAAAGGGTGTAATGTGGCATCATTAGTGTTAAAAAGAAAGAGAGGCTCTGCCTGTGGAATGACTGGGATTCAGGAAGAAGGCTGCAGCAGCTCATCTTGACTGAGGGTAACCCTGAGGCTGTGTCCGGGGGTGAGCACACAGGTGGGACTTGACAGAGACTGCTAGAGCTGACGGGATTGGATTAAAAGATGATTTTATGCAGAGCTTTTGATTATTGAGCACTGGAGGAATATGAGATAAAGAAGAATGTAGGTTGCACTTAAAAAGTATACAGTCCAGTGGGAGAGTAAGAATGTGTGTATCAACAAATACACTCATAGACAAAACATAAAGTGCAGTGAGAGATGGATATGTGACTGCAAAGGAGCTATGACTATAGCAGATCAAAATAAATGACTCCCCAGAATGTTTATCTGGTGACCTTTTAGGATTCCTCTTGACCTTGGGATTCCTTGTTTATATGATGAAGGACTTGCCAGAAATAGTGAAATAAATTTTGATTTTAGATTTAAAAATGCAAGTTAAATCTGGAAGTTAAAGAAGGGGGAGCTCTGGGTTCATCTTTTGATGTCATTTGATGTTTATACGTCATTTATGTCATTGGATGTTTATATGCCCATTCACTTATGAAATCTGGTAAGCATATTGCATACCTAGGATGTGAGGTGTGCCGTATTGTATTGTTTTCTCTCTTTCCCCCATTAGCAGAGTTCATCAAGGATAGGACGAATTCATAGATTGCTTAATTTATTCACTTACAGATATTTATTAAGCACCTGTTATGCAAAAGGTACTGCAAAGTACTAGAGACAGGACAGAGAAGGCCTAGAGCTTTGGTTCTGGGTGAAAAGCATGCAGTACAAAGGACCTGGCCTAGGAAGGATTTCATTGGCTTTCCCCCACTCCCCCCACTGACTTTTATGCCCCTGGTGTACAGCATACCTTATATGGTAGTGGGGGCTTGAAAAAGTTTGCTGAATGGGTGAATTTCTGCTTCTTTGAGGCTGTGGCCACAGAATGCAGATGAGTGCAAGAAACAGCAATTTTGTTTAGGTTTTCTCATGATGGAATTTGCCTTGTAGATGATAGGGTTTTTGAAGTTGGACGGGCGGAATAGAATGGCTAGTATATGGTGTAGTTTCTTTGCCAGCATTGTTAGATAAAGAGGAAGCCACTGTGTCAAAGACCCCCAGTAATAAAGCAGTTTTTAAATCATTGAAGTTTGTTTCTCCTTCAGGTGGTAATTCGGTGGTCAATGGTTCAGGACAGCAGGGTAGTTCTCCACATTGACATTCTGGGACTCATGAGTGTTTTGTGGAAATAATCTGGCATCCTTTAGGATATCATTCTTATGTGAATGGTTGAAGCTGGGTGATAGGCCCCTGTGCTTTCCAATTGAGAAGATATTGAAGAATGTGTGCCTATATCTTAAGACTTGAAAATCTTAGCTCTCAAAAGTGCTATAACACCTGGAAGTGTATTATCTGCCACCAGAGAGAGCTTAGTCACTTGACCACCTCATAAACACAGTAGAGGCTGGGGAATGCAGTCTAGCTGGTGGTCTTGTGCCTGGCCACAGATCTATTACAGTGATGGACGGGTTGGTGGGGAGAGAACAGGTTTCTGTCAGACAGCTCTGCCATGCCAACTCCTGTGCTGAAGAATCTGGTTTCTCCCAAGTTTTGGTCTTTCTGGAGAGTCTTCAGGGGTTCCCATTCGGTGGCTGGCAGTTTCAGGGAGTGGATCTAGAAAAATAGTGACCATGCTCACTGTGGATCCTCACAAACCTTAGCTTTTCAGGAAAAGAGCCTCTGAGGAAAGGGTGTGTACTCATTCTGTTCTTCTCACTGCTCAGCCTTCACTCCCTGCCTTTGCAGAATTGGTTTATTCTTTAACCTTTTCAGTGTTCACACCCCCAGCTCTCTCCTGGCGCTGAGATTCCGCTGTACCTTCTTGGTGTTGTGTGCTTACACTGATGGGCTCCATGTGGATCTGCCTTGGGGGAGCACATCCCACGTAGGCATGATCTCAGTTT